TGAGCTTCAGTGCTAGGGTTCCTGAGGCCCCCAGCCCTCCCCTTAGTTTTCCAGCTTTTCTTTTCGCTCTGTGAGTGACTTCAGCATCTACCAACAAAGACTCACTCATTTTCTTGTTGTTAGGTTATAAAAGATGGCCTCTGTTGCATGCTAGAATGGATCCAGGGGTCCCAAGAACCCACAGGCCACGGGCCAAATCCAGCCTGGCATCTGTTTTTATAAATAAAGTTTTATTAGAACACTGCCATGCACACCCATTTGTGTACTGTCTATCATTGCTTTCAGTTTACAATGGCAGAGTTGAGCTGATACAATAAAGACTGTATGGTCTTGAAAGCTATGTACTACCTGGCCCTTTACAAAGAAAAAAAGTATGCTGACCTTGGGTTTAAAGACAGAGCCTTCCTACTTGAAGGCCTAAAATGTCTATCACTGAAGTGTGTGTGGGATGGGGTAGGGTGCTGCCTCCAGAATCATCACACCCAGGACCAGGCCCTGCCAGGTATCACAAGATCCCCCAGGTTCAGCCATTCAGACCCTGTGTTTCCAAGAGGGCCTGGGAAGGCCTAATACAATCGCCACCAACCACGTCTGCTTCTGGCCACCTACACCATCCCAGCCTGCCCCCAGAAGGTAGAGAAGGAACCTACTCAGTCATTCTGTGACAAGAAGCCCTTGAAGAACCTTGACCTCCAGTGTTTGAGGAGAAAAAGGCCAGAAGCATCCACCATATTTCCCTCCAAGTTTCCAAGGCATATGAACAGCACTGGAGAGCACAGGATAGCTGAGTCTCTGAGCCCTCCCAGTATAACGCCTTGACACTCTGGAGAGGTGGATGCCTCTACGAGGGTTAGACATGTGAAGAAACGGTCCAAAATGCACACAGTAACTGTGTATAGAACATTTCTGGAAGAAAAGAAAACACAAGTACCTTTTAACAGTGGTACTTCCAGGGAGGAGAACTGGAGGGCTGAGAGAGGAGACACTTTTAGCATCTCAGTTTTATTTGCCATGTGCATGTGTTCTTTTGTAGTTTTTAATTATTTCTAAATGCAATAACCGCCACATCGTGTGAAACAAGCCACCATCCTATCTATTCCATGACCACAAGCAATTGCTGTCTTCATCAGGACAGAAAGTCTTGAAACGTTAACCGTTGATCATCCTCAGTGATCTCTCACAGAAACAAAGAACAGAGTCCCATGGTGCTCACTCATCAGCGGACCTTGAACAATCATCATCGTACTATAAGAAAGGGATTGGCGGG